TCTGAGTAAAAACATCATAAAACTATGATAACTATATTACCAATTCAATACTTCAATACCAATATAGTTAGTCACCGACACTTCTATCCTTCACCTTTGGTATGAAAATTTGCTATGCATCACTCACTCGCATAAGCATCAAAGTTGATTTAAATACTCTTATTGTTTAAGAAGTTGAAAAGAGATAAAAGAATAGGCAGTCATAGTAGATCTTGTCAACTTACTTCATCTGCCAAACAGCATACATAAAATGGTTTATTTATTATCCAAAATTGATATGCGAGAGAGATGCCCCTTAATATTCAGAAAAAAAATGTATTTTCGTCCTGGTTTTACTTCACTACTTGACTTTACAGCTCATGTTTATTTTCTTCAACTTCTGCGCACCAGGTTTATATACCATAATATTCATTAGATTTTGCTCCACAAGTTTGCCTTGTGTGTGACTTTGCGGTGCAACACCAAAGAAGATAAAATAGAGTGTAAAGTCAAATTTTGGGGTAAATTTGGACTACAATATCTGAATTCCCCTAATATTCAGTTATGTCAGTATAAGCTGATTGCCCAACTGAGAGAAATAGCTGATCAGTCATTTACAAAGTCCATTGTACTAAGCAGAAGGAGCCTGACCTCATATAGGGGCTGTCCATCCACAACTACCCATGGCACGTACTGATGAGGAGGCACAAGGGCATTTGTTTCCACTGCATAGCTCAACTCAAGCTGCAATATCGAATATGGTCAACGAGAAAAAAAAATGAAATCTTTTCTTTTAAATAAACCTAAGTGTGTAGTGCAAATCAGAACTATCCTTCAGAAAATTTAAATAGGATTTTTTGTAGTAGTCCAAAACCTCAAAGGTTGGTTTTTAAGTTTTATACTTCATATGTGATATGATCACTTAACATTAACAATGAATGATGAGTATAAATAGGATATGTGACTATAGGAGCAGAAAGTCAACCTCTTTACCCCTCCCTAAGGCATAACAATCAGAAACTGACTTTGGATCCTTGACCAATTTATCATAGCATGTTTCCCACTGACTGTAATTTCCGTTGTAGACCAGGCTTTCCACGCAATATATAAACGGGAAGTGTTCTTTCTGCAGGTAGATGTTAAAACTCAATTAGTTAACAAGACTAGGAGTGGCAAAAGAGTTCATTTTTTCCACCATTTCTCATATTCATTACTAATGAAAATCCACTGGATCACATTTCAAAATGGCGAGCTGGTGTGCACAAGGAAAACCAGTACTCAAGTTAATCTATCCACCCTCTTTGGCTATAATCTTAGGTGACTGAACTAATGTAGTGAATGAATGCATTGAGGGTGAGTGGTATGAAGTGAATCGAAGGTAGTTGGTGTCACTATGCACTTCTTGAATTCCGTTATTGTTGTTTCACAACATTGAGTAGAAATGCCACATAAATAGCAAAGGGCAGTCATGTATGTGGGAAGAGAAGTAACGTCAGGGGAAGGGATTCCGACGGGAAGTACAGTGATCCTGACACGAACATGTAAGAAGGGCAGTGACACCAGCAAATATAGTGTATATGTAATTGGACGAAAGCGGTGAACATTTATTATTTTAACACACTTAAATACAAAGGGTATTTTAGTCATATTAATTTCAGTAATCATATAGAAGGAAATATACTATTTTTTAGTCATATTCCAGAAAGTTTTCCATGTATTTTCAAGGGTACTTTTGAATAATACCAAAAACCTAAAGGTTATCTTAAAAGTTCCCTCAAAATGAATCCAAGCAATCCCCTTGATACACTTAGATAGCATAAAAAGAACACAAGAGCTTTCCTATTATCAAACAATTTGGTAGCATTTTTGTTAAATTTGCTTATTCTACTTTTCAGCACACAAAATAAACAACGACTTACACAAAGATCACTTCATTTAAACTTGATATAGAAAGACATCTTGATTCAAACATGACTGGGTGTACAAAATTAAAAAGTAAAAAGCTCGTAGGTAGCTTTTGAATTACTTATTTGGGTGAAATGGACTATCCAACATATTCAGTCATTTCAGGCAACTAAACCTTTCCAAACAAGCACTATGTACTTCAATCACAAATGAACTAAAGAGCTAATAACCAAACCGAAACATACCACATCTGGCCAGGCATCAATAGCACAAGCCTCTACAGTGTTCAACAAACACTCATCCGCACCATGCTGCAGCAAAAACAGAGGAAATTCAAGTGTTTCAATTGTGCATCAATTCAAAAATCTCAAAGAGTGATGAAAATGGAAGGGTTATGAAGGACCTGGCATGTAAAGGTGTCGTTGTTTCCATGAAGCTTAGCATTACCCCAGGGGACGAGGGTAAGATCGACGATATCTATGATCCCATTTTCAAATATATTGACTAAATAATTAACTATGAAATTGGAACAGTAAGGGCAAAGGGATTCATAGTACAGATCCAGAGAAACCTTTTCAGAGACAGAATAAATGGGAGACGTCGAGGAGAACAGGAGGAAAGAAACGAGGGAAAGAATTATGGTCTTCTGATGAGGGGCCGCCATATGAGATGCCGATTGTGTGCAGCTTCTTCAGGTTCACAGTTGCCCAGCAGCCCGAAGGAGTCTGGGGTATATGGTCACGTTTCAAGAGATGATGAGGCGGCATGAAAGAAAGATCAACTAGTTGCCCCGGTATCTTTTAGAATATTTGACGTGTTTTCGTCCAGGTGCATTTCTCGTTAAAACCTACGGAGTATTTAAAACCCGTTCGGTAAAATTCTAAATCTAGCTTCTACTAATAGGGGTGTTTGGATCTGATTCTCAAAACTGATTCTGCTTCTTCAAGGAGCAGAAACAGAAGATGGAGTGTTTGGGTGAAATTTCAGAAGCACTTCTGGTGCTCTAATTTACTCTCAGAATCAGTTTTTTTAGAAGCTAGGGGTGCCAGCTTCTGAAAACTGATTCTGCTTCTGCTTTAAAAAAGAAGTAGAAGCAGAATCAATTTCAAACACCCCTAAGTAAACATTTCAAGTACTTCCTTCGTCCCTAAATAAACTTCCAACTTTCCTTTTTAGTACTCCATTCGTCCCCTTTTAAATGTCCCATTTACGATATTGGGATGTCCCTATTTAATTGTCTCATACCTTATTTGGTAAAGTTTGTGCGGCTCAAAATCATTCTTACTTTATTCTTACTTTATCAATTAATATCAATCACACAAACTCACTTTTCTTAAAGCTCGTGTCACTCTCTTCCGGGACATTTAAAAGGGGACGGAGGGAGTATGTCTCAATTAAAACTTACATTTTCCCTTTTTCGTAAAGAATTTGTGGTTGACAACATTTCTTACACATTTCTCTCTATTCTGCACAACTCTCCAAGTTTTTGCAAGTTTTTTTGTTTTTTTTTTGTTTTTGTTTTTTTTTTGCAAGTGATATAATCTTAAGGCATGTTATGTAAATTATGTAATTACATTCCAAATTTAATCAGATCATTAAAGTGTTGAAGTATCAAAAAAGGAAAGAAGTTAAATACAAAGTACTCCCTTTGTCCCTAAATTTACTACCATTTCGCTTTTCGAGAGTCAACTTAAATCACTCTTAAACTCTTACTTTTTGTATCAAAACTTTATGAAAATTGATTTTTTTTTTGCAGGCTTTGTAGCGGGTTTAATGTAGTTTCTGAATATGTAAATTTTATTTACTAAAAATAATCCGAGTTTTCACAGGGATCATTTAACTTTATTGTCGGTCAACCTTCGTAATCCGCAATTGGAACAACATTCCGGGACGGAGGGAGTAATTGATATTGATTTAAAACACTACATTGTGTGTGCTCTCAAAACAACAACTTTCCATGTTTGAGAATACATGAAAATATTACTCCGTAATTAGAGGTACAAATGATACATGGTTAGGAATAATACATTCCTTTCGCTAGGAATTTGTTCATACGGATTAAAAAAAACATCAATAAGAAAAAATATTCTATAAAAGAATACAACAAATTTAAATGTATAGCCAATTAAGCTTACTTATCGGTCTCAATTAGTTGAAACCTATGTTTAAAAAACCGACCCGGCCGGGTTGACCCGGACAAAAAACCGGTTTGGTTTTTTCAAAACCCGAAAATGGTCAAAAACCAAAAAAACTCGGCTGACCCGGGAAAACCCGGTCAAGACCCGAACCCAAGAAACCCGAAAAACCCGGTAAAACCCAGTTTTTGGGTGTTTTTACCAAAAAAAGTAATTTCTTTTTTATTTTTAATGCATTATTTATACCAATAAAATTGCAATTTCAATACCTTAAAAAGAAAAACTACGTAATATATTTATATATTTATTTAAGAATGAACATCATGCCAAATTATAATATAGATGTACAATAAAAATAAAAATATCATTATATATTTTTATAAGATCAAAATATACATTCAAATATCATAAGAGTGTATTAAATGCTTAATAAGTAGTATTGTTAGTTGATTATTATGAATAATAACTAATTTTTATTATAATTTTATATATAATTATATGTTTAATATTATTATATAGACGTATACTCATTGACCGGTTTTCCGGCGTTGACCGGGTTGACCCACCGGGTCCGGGTTGACCCGTGACCCAGTCATGTGGCCGGGTCACTCTCCGGTCCGGTTTTTACAACATAGGTTGAAACAACGACAAAAAAATGCGTAATAATAAAAATTAGCAGTGTTCAACAAAAAATGATTTCAAAAATTAAAAGTTGATGTGTTTGGTAAAATATTTGCTTTTTGTGTAATAGAGAAAGTAAAAAAAAATAGTTGTTAGATTTTATCTTTTAAGTGTTTAATTTAAGCAAAAGTTGTCACTTAAAAATAATTTTTTTCATTTTTTAAGGTAAAAGCTAAAAATCATTTTTTGATCTTCTACAAACATACCTAAACCATGACAAATAAAAAAACATAAGTCACGTTAAAAACATGACTACATGTATTAAAATACCAAGTTAGATACTCCGTATATAATACTAACCCAAATTCAGAACAACTTGGAGAAAAGCACACTACTGCCATTCCTTATGAAGGTATGTCACTCCACATTTTTGTACTTCTCATTTGTATAGTTATAATATTTCTTAATACTTTATCCGGCTAAAAAAAGTTTGTCAAAATTGATATTTCTTAGTTGATGGTAGTCAATTTCAACCGATTATATATCTTAATACGAAAGGCTAAAGGGTCAAATAGGTACATGAACTAACCTAAAGTGTTCAATTAGCCCCTTATATAGGAGTTTCTGCCCGGATGTCGCCAATTGGGGCGGTTCCCGGTGGAATTTTTTGATGAATTTTTTTGAACATCTTCTTCATTAAGTCTAGTGTACCCAGACCAAATTTCAGCTAAAAATTCAACCGGGAAGGCAGTCGAATGATTTTCTGAAAAATTAAACAGCGCAGTACATTTCGGAAAATAATTCGACTGCCTTCCTGGTTGAATTTTTAGCTGAAATTTGGTATGGGTAAACTAGACTTAATGAAGAAGATGGTCAAAAAATTTCATCAAAAAATTCCACCGGGAACCGCCCCAATTGGCGACGTCCGGGCAGAAACTCCTTTATAAGGGGTTAATTGAACACTTTAAGTTAGTTCATGTACCTATTTGACCCTTTAGCCTAATACGAAATTATTTTGAATATGAAAATTATATTAAAGTGTTGCTTATTAAATATATTTTCATAAAAGTATTTAATTTATAAATTACATACAAATATAATGATTAAAATCATTATTCAAAGTTTGTCATCATTTAAAAGGAAAAGTTAGCATGACCAACCTTTCAGGGATGGATGTAGTAAAAATCATTATCTATGTAGTGTTACTTTTTAACTAAATACACTTCTCATTTAGTAGAGTGGAAATCATATGTCTTATTTGATAATACGATCCAACTTTATGGCGGTGTTAGAGCTTTGAATGAATTTTAATCCAAAAAGATGAAAATTAGTGCGTCTCTGGGTACAATGTTATACGATGTGTTAATGTGTCAAGATAAGGACGGTGGGTAACATTTTCCTTTTTTGCAAAATTATAAAATCTTGAGTTCAATAATCTGATTTGTATTAAACCAATACCGGTATTTTTATCATTCTCTTATTCTATCATTGTGTTACAACTGTTACATCTAATTTTGATTTACTATATTTTTTTCCTTTTTTTATCAATACTTCAACGTAATCCATATGTTTTCATACATTTCAGGCTCACCTCAAAATAGTGTATTAAAACGGACAACGATAGATTCATACATGATGTGCCAATCTATACTAATCAATATATATATATATATATATATATATATATATATATATATATATATATATATATATTAAGGATCATGTACAAACTAATCCTAATTTACAAAGTGCAAACCAATCATGACCATCCATATTAATGAGATGAATGGTGTGGATGAGAAAACTCCCCACTAATATGGTTAGGGTTAAAAAACGTATGTATTGGATAGGAGTAAAAAAATTCCCCCTATTACTATGGCTGATTTTTAGGGATGTAAACAAATCTTAACCTTGATTTTATAAAATTGGACGGATGAGATGATTTTGCATTTTGTATGGGAAACATACTTTGTATCTGATCTTAACCCTATATATATATATATATAAGAGGAACTTTTAAGAGCATACAAAGCGCCACATAATCCTGCCATGTCAGTATATATAACAATTATTTAGTTATCTTTATACCTTTTGTTAAACAAGATTTCTATGGTCTTTTTAATAATCCAAGGTCCGGCCATGTCTTTTTTGTTAAACAAGATCGCCTAACCTTCATTACCAAAAAGTTACGAGATTCTATTTTTGATTGCCTAACATTTTTTTTCATCAAAACGGGTCTCTATTCATATCAAAAGATTCAGGATTATTACATCTAGCAAAGGGAAAATAAAAGTGACATCAACTAAAACTCCAACAACCACGACTGTAACCATATGGTGAGACTTTGAGACGGTCACCCCTGAAAGAGCAACACGAATCGCTAACCATGTAGTGGGCTTGACATAGCCAAACTTGTTCCCATAGATCCAATCATACCCAATGACATAAAAAGAGGCTAAAACTCAAACAAATTGTCAAAAGAAACAACAAAGATGAACACAAGAAAACAAATCACAAACAGATAAAAATTACTAGGAAAACTTTCACATTTAAAGGAAAGTTTTAAAGCTCATTTGAGGTGAGTATCGACATCTAATTGCTTACAACTTGTAGGTTAAGCATGAGATTACCTAAATGTCTAAATCATAATTTTTCATGGATTATGATGGTTAAATATGGATGAAATATTGATATAGTTCCCAAAGAATGAAATTGGAAATGATTTGAGGATGTATGAATAATATGAGATTAAATGAGTTATAAATGAACTAGGGATACATGTGGATAGGGATTTTACTCATGTATTAAACATGTGGATACATAAATGGATATTTATATATTGAGGTTGAATGTTTAAGTTGCTGCTACATACACATAAATATGTAGAGAATTACAAAATGAGGATATTTGTATGATGACAATAATCTTAATAGTATTGAAATACTAGTTAGTGATTATTTGAAATTGTTGATAGAAGTGATCCTAAGTATTGGATTGTATGGAATGCACTTGAATGTACTTCAAGTGTATGAAATGACTTAGTATGAAGCTAAGGGTAAGTTATGGGCAGTCATTAAGAATGACCCAAGGTAGATTATTGAGATGTCAATTCTAGGCATAGGTTTGCTTAGGAATTGGACTATAATGAACAATTAGAGCCGGACTCTATGATTACATGGAAACGTAGTTGGGCCGTGCCCTCGCCATGTAATTGTGATTTGCATGGAAATGTAGTTGGGCCGTGCCTTTGCCATGTAATGGTGATTTGCATGGAAACGTAGTTGGGCCGTGCCCTTGCCATGTAAATTGTGATTTGCATAGAAACGTAGTTGGGCCGTGCCCTTGCTATGCAAATGTGATAGGATGTAAATTGTGATTTGCATAGAAACGTAGTTGGGCCGTGCCCTTGCTATGCAAATGTGATAGGATGTAAATTGTGATTTGCATAGAAACGTAGTTGGGCCGTGTCCTTGCTATGCAAATGTGATAGGATGTAAATTGTGATTTGCATAGAAACGTAGTTGGGCCGTGCCCTTGCTATGCAAATGTGATAGGACGTAAATTGTGGTTTGCATAGAAATGTAGTTGGGCCGAGCCCTTGCTATGCAATGGTAATGTGATGAACTTATGAATTGTCATGGCTTATAGTCACGGGGAATGGGAATGGTGATTTCTAAATGAACATGGGCCCACGGGCCGACTACTTGACTTTTATATAAAGTAAGTATATTTTCAAACGGGGTAACTTAGGGTTACCACTATATTGTATTATCACCCTATTTGAGGGTCTTGTGTTTGAAATACTTGTTGTATATCCCTTAGATGCCATCCACACCAGTACTTTATAGCCGTATAGAGTACTGACCCCTTCGGGGGCGTCCCACCACCATTTCAGGTTGAGGCTCGAGCTTGCTACCTGTGCCCGTTGCTCGGGTGATCCTTTGGAGAGAAGACGTGGTTCGTGCCTTCTCCATTCTGTTTTGAACAATATTAAGCATGCTCATGGATATTTTACTATAGAGCCTGCGTGCTCATGAATAGCCTTGTGTGGCCCTTTTGTTTTAAACAATGTTTTCCGCTGCGTTATGAATTACTTATTATGTTTGTTTATGGATGTTATGTGTGTGAATGATATTCAAGACGCCTTGTATAATATGAATGTGTTGGACTGCGGTTGACTATTCGTATTATACGGCGGGTTGTTGACGTGTCCGGGTAGGTCCGGGGCGTGACAATTTAATTGGTATCAGAGCCTTAGTCCATAAACTTCATAATAAAGTCTCAAAACTCTCTATTTCAAAATGATTTTGAAAACCATGAGCATAAACGTTTTGTACTTAAGAACTTTTGGTGTTTGAGTTGCAAGGTCTCTAATTGTTAAGATGGCGCACTTAACGATTGGTATGGCGGCGACTTGGCCCAAGAGATGTCTTAAGTACCTATCTGTCAGTTGACATTTGAAACGAGTCTAATGACTCATTCTAATTATTTCTTTCAGCGATGGAGGGTGATGGTGGTACTATGAATAGGGAGAACCTTTGTTCCAACCGGGAAGACCTCTTCCTTTGTTCATGATGAGGGGATGCCTCGTTAAAACCTTACTAGGAAAAAAACTGATGGGAAAAAATCCTAGTGAAGGAAAAAGAGTACACCGGTACCTCAAAATAAAATAGAGGATGGTCAGTCTCATCAGTTCTTGATTGAGCGTCTGCTTTACTGGTAAGCCGAGATATGTTCCGGGAAGGCCAGTCGCTCATTTGTTTTCCAGTGGTGGCGGTCGAGCCAATGTATGCTCGGGAGAGACCACCCGCATAACTGTTTGTCCATGATGCCGAGCCGAGGTATGCCCGGGAGAGGGTAGTTGCATAACTATGCACATTGATCCCCGCTGCTTGTGAGAGGATATGGTTTCTTTCGCCTGGGTAGCAGTTTTAGGTCTTGTTTATCCGATTAGCCTCCTAAGGTCTTGTTCGTCCGATCAGCAGCCTAGGTCTTGTTTGTCCGATTAGCAGCCCAGGGTCTTGTTTCGGTTGAGAGATCTCTTCTTTGAATGTACCCAAAATAGAGCTAAAGGGTAAGATCTTAGGCCATTGTGTGCAGCTGCAATGGTCGCCATCCGCCGAGGGTATAACAAAGACCGGTCTTCACTTGTGAGCAGTGGTCGTCTGATGTTCTCGAGATAGATGCAGTGAGTAGTTCGCCATGATAAGTAGTCCCTGTTGATTGCTATTATTACCTGTTAGAGACATGGCAGGTAAAAGAGGTGCTCTCGCTACTTTAGCTGCAGTGCAAGATACTAAGTTTTGGCCTTCAAAGTCAGATGAAGGTCTGTCTCAGGCAGGGAAGAAGCCCGGAGCTTCTCCGCCTGGTGCTGGGGAAAATAGAGAAGCTTCCCTGCTCTACGAACTGCGACTTTCCAAGAAGAGCGAATGTATAAAGTGCTCCTAAGGCCGGGTAAGGGGAGATAACCCAACCGGCAAAATCCTCGCTTACTCTGTTCGTTTCCTCATAGGTATGGTTGGTTGGAGAAGCGCATTTGCTGCCCTGACCTGACATTCATTTCCTCATAGTTATGGTAGGTCGGAGAAGTGCACTTGCTGCCCTGACCTTCGTTTCCTCGTAGGTATGGATGGTCGGAGAAGCGCATTTGCTGCCTCGGATGCGATGAAAGATGCTAAGTCTCGATCTTTGACATCCAATGCAAGTCCATCTAATGTCGGGGAGAAGCACACAAGTTCTCCACATAATGTCGGGGAGAGGCACGCACCTTCCCTACCTGATGCTGGGGAGAGGCACGCACCTTCCCTACCTGATGCTGGGGGATGCTAAGAGTTCCTCCGCCTGATGTCCGTGAGATGCCCAGCTTCTTTGAATGATGTCGGGAAGATTCTCATCTTCTCTACATGAAGTCGGGGAGAAGCATGCACCTTCCCTGCCTAATGTCGGGAGATGCTAAGAGCTTCTCTGCCTGATGCTGGGGAGAAGCAAATACTTTCCCTGTCTGCACCATTTCACTTGAAAGAGTAAAGGCACGAAGCCGATCATCAGCAGAGGGTCAGGACCAGACCAACAGAAGTCTGGATTGCCCTGCATCCTAGCCAAAGCATGAAAGTTATCTACAAAAGTCTGCCATTTGCTGAAGGAGTGGTTGAGATCAGGCTTGTGATGAAGAAATAGTCATCATCCTTAAGGACGACAGGTTAGCCTGATTGTAGAGTCAGGACTATGACATTTATTGCGGCCGTGATGAATCTCAAGCAGCGGTCATCATCCATGTAAAGGAGAATGCGACCGATCTTGAAATGAGAATGATGGCACTGAGCCGATCCTGACGAGGATGGCAAATCGTAGGCCGATTGTGAATCCAAAACAACGATCATCATCCAAGTGAAGGAGGATCTGATTGTTCTTGAGATGGGGATGACGGTGTTGACTCGGTTCTGACGTAGATGACGACTCATTGCCAGGAAGAGCAAGGGTATGAACTGCTTCTCAGGTCGGGTTAGGGAAGGCAATCCTACCCGTATAGCTCCAGCTTACTTCGCTTGTTTTCTTGCAGGTACAACCGGTCGGGAGAATCACGCAGCTTCCCTTCCCGATGCCAGGGAGAAGCATGCAGCTCCCCTGCTTCACAAAGTGCCACCTACTGGGATGAGCAAAGGTATACGCTGCTTCTTAAGACGGGAAAGAGGCATAATCCGATTAGTGGGTACCAGGCTCACTTCGTTCATTTCCTTGCAGATACGGTGGGTCGAAGAAGTGAACTTGCTAACCTGGCAGCGAAGAAAGATGCTAAATCTCGTCCCCTGATATCTCACTCAGGTTCCGATGGTGCTAAGGAGAATCGCAATTCCTCCCCCTCTAGTGAGGAGCCACTTGCTTAGAGGAGCGAAAGTGTCGTATGCTTCTTGGGGTAGGTAAGGGAAATAACCCTACTTGTTGGATCCCTACTCACCTCGTTCATTTCTTTGCAGATGTGCCAGGTCGGAGAAGCGAACTTGCTGCCTTGGCTGCAAAGAGAGATGCTAAGCCATGTTCCCTGTCATCTGATCTTTTTTCTCTGCAGGGACTGATGTATCTGGACGCATTGCTCCGTGCTATGAAAGATCAGCGTATGGAGCTCCAGCGTCAGGCTGATGGAGCCCATCTGCAGGCTACCCAAGCCCGGCAGCATGCGGATGGAGCTCAGGCAGCCCCGAGGATACTTGTTGCATGCAATGAACATGATAAGAGAGCCCTGATCGATCTCTAATCAAAGTGTGACCAGCTAAAGTCCGAGTATAACCAACTAAAGGCGTCGTTAGCGGATGCAGCGCAACAAGCAATTGCGGCGTTCAAAGATTCTCAAGAGTTCTCCGAGCTTCTTTCTTCCCGGACTAAGGATGTGGGGCAGCAAGCAATTGCAACGTTCAAAGCTTCCCGAGAATTCACGAAGCCCGTTTCTTCCCAGACATATGCTCTCCGCGCAGAGCAAGTTCGTGATTCGCTTCAGACCAAGGAGGATTGCAATTGGCACAAATAAATGTCTTGTTCTCTTTTAGTTGTGGCCGGCATGATATGCAGACTAGCCGTGATGAGGCGGAGAAGATGGGCAATGTTGATCTCGGACTTGTTCTCCGTGATTGATTTATCACTTGAGCTTGTATGTATGCATCATTCGTTCTTTCAATTTTCTTAGTCGTTTTTCATTCAAGAATACTTGGACAACTTATCGGGGATCTGGCTCCCCACCTAGGCCGCGAGGGGCAGAAAGTTGACAAGGTCAACCTTGACTGTGCCCTGCTAGGTAAGGCGGGGCTGACCCGCACACTGTCGGTCTAGGACCAACGAGTTGTGCAAGCTGTTTGGCCAGCCATTGGACAACGGATGTATGAGAGGGGCTCAGGCCACGACCTCTCGCATACCTTCGACCCGGAGGTCGTTCTTACACCACCTTAACTTGTATAGCTAGTTTCATACTTAGGAAATATTTTGGTTCTTCCCTTTCTGAAAGTCGATCTGAAGTCGACCAAACGTAAGGGCAAGGCCCTGCATGATCAGACCAGAACGGACCCGCACCATTGATCCTGTCAAGAGCGTATGTGGGCTGCTAAGCCTACCAACGTTAGACAATGGATATATGAAAGGGGCTCGGAGCACGACCTTTCGCATCCCTTCGGTCCGAAGACCGGTCATATAGTTGTTGCATTGTTGATTGGATCATACATGCATGTGAGCGGTTTAGACAGCAATGCTAGACAACGGATGTACGAGAGGGGCTCGGGGCGCGACCTCTCGCATACCTTTTCGACCCGGAAGCCGGTCCTACAACTGCCCTGACCGAGCAGCTAACCCCGGACTTAGAAAGTAGTATGATCATTTCCTTGCCCGAGAGTCGAGCCGTGGTCGACTAAACACCGATAGCGGGGCGTGATATATATATATACCCTTTTTTTTCTTTTTCTTTTCCTTTTTTTTGTTTTTTTTTTCTTTCTTTTTTTTGAGCCGTCGCCCGTTTAATCCAAGTGAGGTCGGACCTCATTAAATTCCAGACTGGAAAATGATTTTTTTTAAGTGATGAAAGAATCTGAGAAGTTGAGGAGTTGCTCCGGTTCTGCACTTGATCTACAATTTGTGATGATTGATTCATAGAATGTGTGAGAGCTAATCCCCAATCACTTCATCAACAGGCTTACAGTTCTGCGCTCTTAGGATTAGAGAGGTTTCTCGGCGCTCCGCACTTGACCTACAAGCTTGGGATGCTCCATACAAGGAGAAAGAGGAGTCCAGACCCCCATAGGCCGCGGTCATCCCCTCCAACCGGTCCTGCTGCTTTCCGAATCTACAGGCTGGGAAGAGAGAGACTGGGATCCTGGGCTACAGGTCGGAGGTCGCGAGGTGTCTCAGCCGTCCGTGTCCAATCCTGGCTAATCGTTGCTCTGCCGGAGAAGGAGCTGCGAACAGAGGTCCATAACAAGTGAAACTTCCTATCTATCTTTGATTCGAGAACATCATCAACCTGGAAAAGCGGGCAAAAGGCAATGCCAAATGTTTATTCACTTAGCAAAATGGAAATAACGGATTATCTCAAGACATAACAAATATAGTCACCAAGCACTTGTATTACATCATTGGATGCTGCCATAAGATTATGAGAGTAGTGATACAATTATAACAAGGTTCAGTTCATAGCAGAAAAAGAGTTCTTAATAGTTAGTTCCAAACTTGAAAAAAAAATAGTTAGCTCCAAACAAGAAGCCATTTTTTGCCTCTTAAATAAAGATAAAGTCAAAGTTTAGTTTCAGTTGTTGAAGTAAAACAAAATATGTTTAAAGTGCCGTCAATTGACTAATACTACTTTACCAATCCATCACTTTTTCTTGAATCCAAAAAATACTCAAATACACAACAAATCATTCTTATGTACACTAATCTAGCATATCAGTTATCATAGAGTTAATAGTCATTGCATAATGAAGGCACAAAGTACATCCTAAGAAATTAAATTATTATTGAATAACTAATGCTGAAATATCATAAAGTAGGAAGAAAAAAACTTTCAGAAAACCCTAATACTAGTTGTTTCAAATGACGATGCAGATAAAACTTCGTATATACAGGGTAATCTTGAGAGATATTATATACCTACGATAGAGAATTCAAATCATGTAAATCGGCTCTCTGATCAAGTTCTGAATTATCGTTGCGGTAAGGGATCGATCAATCCGAGAAACTATGTCACAACCTGTGAACTCAAAGCTTTGACCGCAACTTGTCGAAGCTGAGATACGACCCCTCTTTCTCCAAATGTTGTGTCATCCATTCTAGCGATAACAGTTTCGGAGATATCGTGAGGTGGATAATAACTCCAATGCACTCAAATACTCTAGAATCTAGATTATAAGATGCAGATGTATAGGCGAGATCAGAGGCAAGACGGAAGTCAGGGAATCCGAAATGATGGAGGCCGGAGGTTAATATGGACTCCGTATGTATGTCTAGACGCAGGTAGGAGGATGGGGTCTAAAACTGAAATAAAAATCCACAATTGAAAATAGAAAAGAAATTTATGAAAAGAGAAAGTGATACGGACATAATTGAAATACAATGTATAAAAGTGGACTGCGCGGGTAATTTGCACTAAATAAATGAGCAAGGGGCGATTCCCGTCGTGAGACTGCGTCTTGGGCCTAGTTGGGCCAAAGCTCGGGGATAACGGGCCGATGGCACTGGGCCTGGCATATTATCCCAACACCGTGCATCGCACAGGCTTGAAAACTAGTGTAGATGATTTGTGTACGTTTTTACTGCAACATACTATCTCAAGTATAATTATAACCTACCTTCTTACATTGCAGACCCACATAGAAGTGGTTTCCCATCATTGGAAGAAACTTCAAGGTTGCATGACGTGCATATCCACAAATCCTGGTACATGCATTATTTCTAGAAATTACTATTTTGATTGTTTAAATTTCATAGAGTGCACCAAAAAATGGATAAACAATGTATGTTTCAGAGTTGTTCTCGTCCAGTGTGTCTTATGATCAAAGCTCTGTCGTTAATGTTTTAGTCATTTCAGGTATGTGTTTTTCCTTATCTTTAATTTATGTTCCCGTCAGGTGTGTTTCCTAGAATGACTAGGAAACAACAAACTGAAGAGTTTATTAAGTAGGTTCTTAAGATCAGGGATGGCAACATTGGAGTTGAAAAAGTGGTGTTCAAGAAGTGGAGATCCCAGATGATTTGCTCCTAAAGGTAAAAGATAACCACATTAATAGATTAAATGTTCCTGCGTATCTTCAAGCTAAGAAAGAGCGATACTTGCACCTACATCGGACATTGTCAATGACATAAATGATTACATGCTCTCATTGATCCCTGGCGATGAAGTTACACACTTCAGTTCAGATAGTATAATCTCATCGGGCATAGATCCCTTCCATGCAAATATGTACACAACTGAGTTTCTTAATAGCATATCAATGTCTTGATCGATTGCCTAATCATGTACTGCATTTAAAAATAGGAGCACAAATAATGTTATTGATAAATATTGATCTGGCAGCAGGATTATGCAATGGAACAAGGTTGGTCGTAACCAAACTGGGAAAGCACATGTTGGAAGCCAAAGTGATAACAAGAAAAGCTATGGGAGATAAGGTTTACATTCCTAGAATTCCATTGTCACTATCAGATACGACAATGTCATTCAATTTTTAGAGGAAGCAATTCCCTGTGATGATATGCTTTGTGATGACAATAAATAAAAGTCAAGGTCAAACGTTAACACATGTAGGTTTATACCTTAAGCGACACATTTTCACTCATGGTCAATTGTATGTGGCAATATTAAGGGTAAGGAGCAGAGATTGTCTGAAGATATTCATTCAAAAGAAAAAAGGTTCTCCACAAAGACAGTAATGTTGCTTATAAAGAGGTTTTTCAAAACCTAAAAATGTGATATTTTGTGTGTACGGTGTTACACAATTCACGCGTTTTGTACAATGTCATTTTTTATTGCTTCTTTTTAATTAAAAGACTTATTCATATTGCTTCTATATATATTACAACAGTTCTAACAACCTCAATATGCACCTGGAGCAACGCCCGGGTAAAGCACTAGTTGATTGAATTGTTTGATTCTGATCAATTTTATGAAGTTTTGATAGAAATGACTGTATTGATTTATTTTGTTGATTTACGAATAAATTATACTTCCTCCATCCCCGAAAGATTATCCTACTTTGACTTACTCTAACCGAACTAATTTACAAATAAATTATACTCCTCCGTCACAAACTAAATTCTTAGCTCACCCCTTTAGTTCACATATAGGCAAGTATATCCTTTAATATGGGATACGGGCATACGGCTAATCCATTATTTACATTATACTTTGTATCTAATTTTCATTGAGCAATAACATTCTTTTTTTTGCTTTGAAAGGAAACTGAACGATTATATTAGAAACCAAGCATCATCGACATTACAAACTTCTCAATATTGGACAACCTCTTGCTACCAAACTCACTAGAACCCGGAAGTCCCCTCACCCTCTGATTAGACATAGAAACGACCACCCTAGATAGAACGGATCGAGTCGCTAACCCTCTTAGATATTTGAAGATTATCTCGACTTTTGAAGTCATCATACTCCTTAACATAAAATACCTTCCCGCTTCATAAGCATAACACACCCAAACAACTAAGATTCCAAAATATAAAACAATCCGGAAGATAACAATGTTAAAATGCAAACTTAAACGAGCCTATTACTACTTGCCAAGCTCCATTATTCTTGATCCCTTATATCTAAGACCTTCCACAGATAGCCAGAATTTCCAACTCGTGTGCTCCATGGAGGTGGTTCAGGAGGAGGTCGGACCAACGTACCCGAACACAATTTTTCTGAAGTGATGCTCCAATGAAGTGCTAGCCTCCCATCTTGCCGCACCCCAAGCTATGACTTTCGTTAGCATAACTGCATCTTCCTCATCCATCTCCATGCTGCCAAACATCTGAGTTGGCCGCTTCACCTCGAATCAGTCTTGGATCGCCGTTATCATCTTCCCTCAAAGTGAGTGGAGTAAAATTAGCCAGGTTGCCGCACCACAGGTCCGCTGCTCAGACCAAATCCGGAGCTCCTACTCCTAATTGAAGATATATGAATCGAGATAATCATGAAATGGCTGAGGTCGATCCCGTCCAAAAATCCCTAGGTTAACGAATCGACTCGCTTGATATGAAGCCTTCGTTTTCCTCTCGTCCAAATAACCATGCAACCTTAGTGCGAGGACCTTCGCCAGCCCCCGCTGATTTGGAACCGTGCCTGAGACCAGAATCCACGCCGCCGGACGAAACCATACGCCGTCGTTCTCCAAACTTGCCCTAGACACGCTAGGTTGTCCGCTCTATCCCTATAACATTATGATTCATTTTTCTGGTTTCTTTCATCTAATTTTCTTATTTCACCACAACATTTTGGGTTTATCGCTACGCTAAAAAACATTTCATAGTTATAAAAACTGTTGTCTTTGTTTTTAGCAACAATTTGAAAATTGTGGCAATGTATGACGTTGCCTATACTTTTGGAAACAGTTTTTACATTTAAAGGCAACACACTAAGAAAATTGTACTCGTAGGGTATGGCATAAAGAACATTTTTATAAGTGGATAAGACAACAGTTTTAAGTTGTTTTTTTCAACAGTATAAAAAACAAAAAGGTTGACATATATCATATACGTGAGATACTTTTTTAATTATTACCGCTATGCAAATGGATATTAAAAAATGTAGCAATTCTTAAAATTTTACCTCTATGCATTAAAAAAATAGTTCATAATAATCACTCACGAATCATAATCCAACCAAGTTTTTAATAAGAACTTAACTATGCAGTTACAAAAGATCAAGTCGCTCATGTTTTTAAACCAAGGATTGATCTCATTTTGCTATTTTCCTAGGGAAAACAAATACTTGATTAGATATTTTAACCTTGTCTGCTTCTCAATGAACATCATAATCTACCATACTATATGGTTCAGTCTACCAAAAGTGCATTCGCAAATGAGGGTGCTGCTTTCTTCCCTGTGGAACGATGCTTGTCAAATGCAAAGGGGGCATGTTTGTATTTCACCATGTGCATATGGTCTTTGAAGTCTAATATGGTCTTTAGAGTCTATAACAACACAATAGGGGTGTCTTAATTAATCTCCCATAACAAATCACTTAAAACTTCGTCAAAACACTTAAAATGACAACAAAAACGAAACAAACTTCATCAAATCACTCATAACCATCAATGTTCATGTCTTCATCTTCACTTTCTTCTTCGTCATCTTCACCATCATCATTTATGTACAACAGAACATAAATATTTATTTAAATAGATCAAATGTAGAGGGTCACAACAACCATGCTTCAATACATTTTAAATACCCAGTCCACACAATTAGGGGCAATGTTCTCGAAATACAACTCTTCAAAATTCTTTTTGACAAACTCGTATGCATGCTCAATCTCTTATTTTCGTGAGGAAATTGGCTTGTAATATTTTAACCACTTGCGCACATTGTGTTTTACATACATACTTGAAATCAAGCACATATGAAACACCAATTTCTTTTTAATTAAAGGTTCATGTCAAGAGCAATATAATTATTATTAATTAGCTAGTATAAACACTGCCTTGATTGGTTACTTTAAAGATGTATCATTCACGACAAATTAGCCTTTGTTTATTACAATGAATGCCTAAAGAAGATAAGGGTAGTATACAAACTGAACGTAATGGATTGATTACATAGGGATGCCTTGCATGTAATCCTTTTTCGAGTGAATAGTATTTACTTTTAGGGGATCTCGTAGGTAGTCTACACAATAACTATATACCACAACATGCCTATGTCCAAAGGTCCTACCCCTTTTGTTATGAGTAAAACCAAACAAAAAAGGCCTACCAGACAAAAAAACAGACAAAAAACAACACTCTTCATAGATTTCTATACACGCATTGTAAGACATGGAAAAGTTGTTCTTCATCTCCACCTATAATTTAATCAACATACTCTGATAATCCTTATTGATTATATTGGCAGAAACAATGTTTTTTTTAACATACTCATAGTAAAGAGCATTTGCACATCAAATAAATGAACTATGCGTGCAATGATACAATTCATACACACATATACACACATCATATGTGTTAATTTTTTTTTACCACTTCTTACATAAAGTTATTTTACCAGAATTCAAGCACACCCAAAACCAAGTTGTGGAGACCATAACTGCAACGGTGCTCAAGAGTTAAAGAATCGTGATCTAGTGCAACTAGTTCTTCTTAGCAAAGGGGAGTTGGTATGGGTAGCAAGCAAGTCCCCTGTTGGACTTGAATTCTTCTTCTTACCATAAAGGAAAAGAGAGTCTAGCAACTGTGCAAGTATATGAAAAAGTAAAATCTGATAGATGTTTCCAAGTCTGAAAAACAATGACTGAGGTGATGATGGTGGATGTATCGAGGTGATTCCTTCAGAGTGGCGTGCACCGGAAGTCCGCCTCTTCATTGTGGACTGGGCTCTCTAAATGGGCCTCATGTATCTGGTATCGACTTGGGCCGACAAACTGTCTAAGAGTAAGTTGGTCGTGGGTGCGAGCCCATATACTATATCACATTCCATCAGAGAAAAAAATGCGAGAAAAAATGGTTGTGGGCCTATGTAATGCAAGTTTCCAAATCCAAAATCATTAGATGGTTTCAAAGAAAGCAAATTAAAAGACATTCAAGTGTTATGAGGTCCTTGTTGAGTAAAGCTCGGAAACCGAAAAGCTTAGAATATTGTTTAATTCACAAAAACCCAGATTCCCTTCCTATAAGGCATGTTTTTCATGATTTTGAGAATCATTTACGCATTGATGAGAAGTGGGTTTACCTATCCAAAGAAACTACAGGGTTTTATAGTACTTTGTCAGCAGAAAATGATCCATACAAATCAATGCAGTCCAAAAAGTCATTCCTAAATCACGTTCTTGTTGTGGTTGGTATGACTAGGCTGAGACAAAGTGGGGAAGTGGAGTGAGATGGTAACGTAGGTATATCCCCCTTCACTTATGAAGAAGTAGGCAAAAGATCAAGCAAAAATAGGCCTGCTGGTACGCTAGAGAGTAGAGACTAAACTAAACCAATCACAGGTGTGACGAGAGCAACAATTAAAGATATGTTATTGAATACAGTTCTGTCAGTAATCAAGGAGAAGTGGCCATATGCAGAAAACAAAAATGTCATGATTCAATAAGACAATGCTAGATCCCATATTCCAGTTGATGACACATACTTTGTTAAGTGTGAGACAGACAATGGTTGGAACATCCAATTGATATGTCAACCCCAAAATAGTCTAGACTTAAATGCCCTGAACTTGGTCTTGTTTAGGGTATCGATTCAATAAAATATCAAAGGCCCCAAAGAGCATTACACAATTAATTGAAGTTGTTCAAACTGCTTTCAATGTGCTCACACTGAGCACATTGAACAAGGTTTTTCTAAGCTATCAGTGTGGAATGCAAAACAATGGAGGCAACAATTTCAAGTTGCAGCATATAGGAGAGAACTCTCTTAAAAGGCAAGGGTTGTTACCAAAAAATATCCAGGCCAATATAACATTATATGAATCAGTTAGGGCTTTTCTGAATGGACAAATGGCAACTGCCAACAATGCAGAGCAAACTAACGAGCAGTTCATAATTGAAAAGTAGGTAATTCTTCACATATGAACTGCTACAAATGTGTTTTCCATCACAATTTTTTCTTTGTTGGTGTTTGTAAACACAGTTAGTGTGTTACACTTTTTCGTATGCAGATGTACACAACCAATGTACACATTATATACATATTGTTATGTGTACGAGGAAAATTTTGTTGTAAACCAATATGCATTAAGACATGATAACTGTTTTCCAAATACAATGCACACCCACCCACCCACCAAGTAAAATGCAATTGTAATCGAACCTCTTACAATTTTGAAACTGGGTTGCTATAATTACAATTACAAACATATGTAACATATTCATACATTCTAGTTGATCTCAATCCCAAAAATCATCATAAGTTTCAACCAACACTCAAACCCTATACATCATATCAGCCAAATGGTATCTCAATCCCCTAAATTCATGCTTCAACCGTAACACATGGCCCAGTTAATCAAACACATTATAAAACTAAGGACAAAGATAAAAGTGGAGGGTACCACCCTTAAAAGTGAATTGACAAACCATGGCCAGTGCAGACCTCCTCACAGTCCTCCACGCCTTTTAGCCAAGCAGAAAAGTCCAACAACACCTTGTCTCCACAAATCTTCCTCCAAGCCCAACTTGGATCAGTTTCAGACTCACTGGAGTAACCGAAGTGAATACGTAGGGACATACGATTGGGCTTCGATGCATGTGACGTCTCCGGTGAGACCAAATAAGAAACTAAATTACAAATCGAATACATTTGCTCCTGGACATCTGGGATCGATGTTGCATGCAGTTGGGTGAGAAAATCCGAGTTCTTAATCGGACGGATAAGGGTGGGACTAGACTTCCTTTCCATGTACATGTCAGGGCACGAAGATGAGTTGGTTGCGATTGAGATACGAGGTAGGTATGGGTAACGGCGGAAGATAAATAGGGGTAGCAGCGGAAGAGAAGAATTAGGGGCTAACAGCGGTGGAGATGAGGTAGAATGAGACGGAGCGATGGAGGAGATGCGTTATAGGACCAGTAGGGGAGAGTCGGAGATAAGGTAGCGTGAGAAGGACAAAAGTGTAGAAGATATTAATGATGGAGGAAAGCCAACCGACGGAAGTGGGTAATGAAATGGCTGAATCATTTAATCGATTAATGGACAGAGAGGTATTAGAAGTAGGACATTTATTTAGGGACTTCCTTTTTGGGAAATTAGAACATTCTTTCGGGGACAGAGGGAGTATAACTGTTTCAGATGCATATTTTTTTAAAAATAACTGTAGACTGAACCGTTAATAAAAAATAGGAATCAAATCACTAACAAGTAACTAATAAATGTTGAGACCGATCCAAACCAGATCATAACCATACGATCTGATTCAATTCTCCCATTTTTGATTCCTAAGTCCAAAGTCCAAACCCTACTTTTAAAAAAATATAGGGCCTGTTTACTAACAGAGATATTTTCCTGTTTTCTACTTCTGTTTTTCGTTCTCCAATTTTCTGTTTTTATTTTTCAGTTTTTCTATCTCCAATTTTCTGTTTCTATTTTTTAGTTTTCCATGTTCATCAATTTTTTCACTCAGTTCTCCAATTTCATACCCTTGACCCCTATCCTTACCACGATCTTACACTTTACCCATACTCCCCCACAACCCTTCATACCCACCCATACCTACTAGTAGGGGTCGGGACCAGGGTGGAGCTGAGGTAGGGAAGGGGTAGGGGGTGGGGGTAGGATGGCGGTAAGGGTGGGGGTAGTGGGTAGGGTTGGGGTAAGGTAGGGGTAGTGGGATAGGATGGCGATAGGGTGGGCCCGGGATCAGTGTGGGGCCGAGGTAGGGGGAGGGTAGGGTGGGGGGTAAGATGGTGGTCGGATGGCGGAAGGGTGGGGGTAGGATGTTGGTGGGGTGGGGCCGAGGTAGGGGCATGTGGTAAGGGGAAAGGAGTAATATACGGGTGGGGGTAGGGTAGGGTGGGTCGGGGTGGGGTCGAGGTGGTAGTGGGTGGCGGTAGGGTAGGGTGGATCAGGGTGGGGCCGAGGTAGGGCAAGGGTAGAGTGGGGGCTAAGATGGCGGTATGAGGGTGGGGGTAGGATGGCGGTGGGGTGGGGCCGAGGTAGGGGCATGTGGTAAGGGGTAAGGGGTAATATACGGGTGGGGGTAGGGTAGGGTGGGGCGGGGTGGGGTCGAGGTGGTAGGGGGGTGGCGCTAGGGTAGGGTGGATCGGGGTGGGGCCGGGGTGTGGTAGGGTCATTATAGGAAAAAGGGTATGCGGGGTTGGGTTGGGTTGGGTGGGTAAGGTAGTAGGGTAGGGTAGGGGTAAGGGGTAAGGTACGAGGATGGAGGTACCGGAGTAGAATCGACATCGGAGCGGGACCGGACCCACCACTAGGTGTAATTATGCAAATTCATTGCAGCGGCACTGTAGCATCTGTGTTTTCCAAATTTGGAAAACTAGTAAAAGTCACTTCTCCAAATCATTAAGAAAAAGAGAGACATGTTTCATTTTTTCCGTTTTGAAAAATGATTTGGTAAACGCATTTTTCTTTTTTCATTTCTCCAGTTTTCCAGGAATTTCTTTGGTAAACACGTTACCTATTTTCTGTTTTCCAGGAAAATATCTCTGTTAGTAAACAGGTTCATAGTATTGCATACTTCGGTTCAATTTAGAACCCTACTTTAGTTTTACATGGTCAAAATAGAGCAAAATATTGCAGATATAAACGGTTCAATTTATATACCCTGTTGAAAAAAGCGCATCTATTTCTCTCTCAAGCAGAAGCCTTGTGAAAAACCCTAGCTGGATTACACCATGGCTGGTATGTATGGTCACGAAGGCGATGGCACGGCTCAACCTCCCAGAGATAGCGGATATGGCGGTAGCGCCGGCGGTAGAGGTTATGGTGGTTCCGGGGCAGCAGGATACGGGTCCAACGGCCGCGGAGCATATCCTGGTTCTGCAGGTGGAGGATACGGATCTGGCGGCGGAGGAGAATATGGAAGTTCTGCAGGTGCAGGATACGGATCTGGCGGTGGAGGAGGCGGATACGGAGGAAGCGGCGGGGGTGGCGCATACGGAGGAAGCGGTGGGGGTGGCGCATACGGAGGAAGCGGTGGGGGTGGCGCATACGGAGGAAGCGGTGGGGGTGGTGGTCACGGAGGAAGCGGTGGGGGAGGTGGTTACGGAGGAAGCGGCGGGGGAGGTAGTTATGGAGGAAGTAGTGGAGGAGGGGGTGGGGGGTATGGTGGTAATCAGCAAAATCGAGGTACGATTTGATGCCTTGTTTTTTATTTTTATCTTACTGTTGACTTCCTTACACTTACTGATGAAGAAAATTTCATACAGGAGGTGGTGGATATCAAGGAGGAGATAGAGGTGGAGGTGGAAGAGGTGGAGGCGGTAGAGGAGGTGGAGGCTCTGGTGGAAGCGGTCGGGATGGTGATTGGCGGTGCCCTAACCCGAGGTAATAATTATTGTCTCATCGCAGATCTTAATTGTGATTCATATTCATTGCGTTCTCAATATTGTTTGAATCTTTATTCCATAGTCTACTTCATTGTTGAATTCATTTTAGTTTGGTTGTGAGCATCAATTGAAGTCCAATGCTCTTTCTGTCTGTAAGGAGAAATTTGTAGAACTGTTTCGATTCCTTATTTCTCTTTGTACAAGCCTTTCTTTATGTTTTTCCTAAGCAACATTGGCAACTTATACTAGTAATTTCTTGTTGGTGCTGAATGTTATTGTAAGTTACATTAACTATGGAATGGTATTAATCTCCGCATGTGTGGCTCTGTAGCTGTGGAAATTTGAACTTTGCTAGAAGAGTTGAATGTAACAAATGTGGTGAGCCTTCTCCTGCTGGTAATGATGATCGTGGTGGCAGAGGTGGTAACAGTTATAACCGAGGCGGTGGTGGTAATAATCGAGATGGAAGGGGTAGGTTTGATAGTGGAAGTGGAGGAGGTGGTAGAAGCAGTGCTTATGGTGATAACCAGGGAAGAGATAGCAGTGGTTATGGTCAGGGTCCTCCTCCAGCCTATGATACCAGTTATGCTCCACCTCCAAGTGGTGGTTATGGTGGCAACAATAACTATTCTCCTGATGCAGTTCCTCCTCCTGCAAGTTATGGTGGTGGAACAACATCCTATCCTCCATCGTATGGTGCACCTGGTGGTTATGGTGGCAATGCTCCAGAAGATGCCCGAGGAGGGGGTAGGTCAGTTCCTCCTGCTAGACATGATGGTGGGTATAGCGGTGGTGGTGGGGGTTCCTATGGCACTTCTGATGACACTCCTCTAAAGGTCAAGCAATGTGATGAAAATTGTGGTGATTCTTGTGACAATGCAAGGATCTATATTTCAAATTTGCCCCCGGATGTGACTGTCGACGAACTTAGGGAACTTTTTGGAAGCATTGGACAAGTAATATGCGTATTTCCTTTGGTTATGATTCTGTATTTCTGATTTAACCCCTATGTATTGGTCAAATTGCGAGCCCTTGCACACCAAGTGTAATAACACTTCCAATGTTAACCATTTATGATACTTATACAGTTACATATACAGCTTAGCGTAGCAGGTGTCTTGTGGGTTTTTCTGCATGTTCATTGAGATCCAGGGAATTTTAGATTTTTAGGACATAACTTAAATTTGTTATGTCTACATGTTTTCATTAGTGGTGCGCTTTTTAATATTGACATATATTCTCTGGGTTGAATTGTTTTTATCTTTTCACTAGGTTGCAAGAATTAAGCAAAAGCGGGGCTACAAGGATCAGTGGCCTTGGAGTATAAAACTATATACAGATGAGCAAGGAAACAATAAAGGAGATGCAGTTCTCTCTTATGAAGATCCTTCAGCAGCCCACTCTGCTGGTGGCTTCTATAACAGTACAGCCTCATACTGCACCTGTGAATTTCATTCTAAACTTTTCTTTACTTCTATTATTTACTAACACATGCTGTGTTTGGCAGACCACATAATGAGAGGTCACAAAATAAGTGTTGCCATGGCTGAGAAGTCTGCTCCAAAACCTGCACCTGCATACGGTAACAGGTGATTTCTTATACCACAACTCTTTATGTATTTTTAAAAAGGTGATTCAGATAATCCTGCCTTTATATATGAACTATGCTCACTTTTGAGATTCTTTAGTGAAACATCTTTCTTTCCTCAAACATGTGTCATTGTGTACCAAATGCCCATACAGTCAAGGTTTTAAAAAGCTAATATGATAATCTAGGCACTTCACCATAGGCTCATAAAGTGTAAGCCTCAAGTGATGTAGCACCTATTACCTAAGCCTCATATAAACAGTACCACCTTCTTCCCACTAACATTGGGAAATGAGGAGTTGGTACGGTTATTAAGAAAAATGAGTTTATGTGGTTGATATTGAAGTGATAAAGTAAGAATGAAGTAAGAATGATTTAGAACCAGCCAAGCATTTCAAAATTTGGTATGAGACAATCTTAGTGGGACGGATTGAAAAGAAAAAATGGAACAATCTTAGCAGGACAGAGGGGAGTATATACTTTACAAAAAATAATTCATTCAACAAGAGAACTAATAAGTGCTCATAAGTAAATAGGAGTTTGGTCAAGAATAATACTAACTTAAAGGAGTTGGACAAATATAAGACCATTTTTATTAACTCCGATAAAAGAGACCATACACTAGTATTATTAAAAAAATTAGGTAGTAAATATCACAAATGCCCCTGCTGCCCTGCTGGTCAACTTACATATCACTGCATCCCTTCAAGCCATTTCATTCTGCCGTGTCAATCATCAAATTTGCTGCTGGTTTAAGCACTGTCAGAGATTTGTTTTGACTTTTATAACCCTTCCCCGTTTATCATTTATCCGTTTACGATTTATAATTATTTGAAACATTTAGTTACAATTACCCGCCTGATCAATTATAGTTACCCAATTTGACTGATTATAGTTACCTGATTTGACCGTTACAATTACTCAACCTGATCAATTACACTTACCCGATCTGACCAGTTACAAATACTCGACCAAATAGTTACAGTTACTCGACCTGACCAATTACAGTTACCATATCCGACCAGTTACAATTACCCGTTCCGTCAATTATAGTTTCCCAACCGGTTAAAGTTACCCGAATCGACCAGTTACAACCCATTACAATTACCGTTATCTGACCAATCAGTTCTACATTTATCTGACCCGACCCATTACAATTGCCCAATCCGAAAAACTCAATTCGATAGTGACCACCGCAACCACCGGCGGCAGCCACAACAGCTACTGATGGTAGCTCCGCCACCGCCGACGGTCACAACCTCCAGCAACCCGCCGCCTCACCTCTCTGACGGCCAGCCTCCCCAGCCCTCTTCCTGCCTCCCCCAGTGCCCTAGCCTCCCTCTCCAACTTCTCCACTCTACAGCCACCCCCCCTACCCAATCCACCTTCCCATTCCGTGCACCACCACTGCCGCGCTACTCCCCAGCCCCGTTGCCGCCCCACTCCAGTCGCCACCCTTGCTCCCCTTCCCCAGCCTCCACCCAAATCGCCTACCCCAGCCGCCAGACCACCGCTAATAAACCCTAGCCACCACATCTCTTGCAAAAGTCGGCCAAAGAGAACGCGAGTAATTTTTGCTATAAGGGTATTTTAGTCTTTTAACGGGATTTGAGTCTCTTTTTTTGTCTAAAGAGAGGTGCGGTCCCATTTTTGTCCACTTCAAACTTGCAAGTAGTATATCTGCAATTCTTTCACGTAAATGAGTCAGTATATCAATAATAAGGCTTGCACGGTACAATTCTGTAGTTGCAAAATATCAAATATTCAAATCAACTCTTCAACACAGAAACAAGGAAGGCAAGCATGATTAATCAACTGAACAAACAAAAAAGTGGAATTTTAATCAAGGAAAAATAAAGCGACTGCTTAGAATTGTATAGTTCAAAGCAGTCAAGTAGAGAACAAGATGAAAGAGCTAGGTAGAGAATAAACATCATTTTTTAAGGGTTTTAGATTTGTAGTTGGGTTTATGTTTTATTATCTTTTGAAGTCCAGGTAAAAGAGTATACTCATTTTCAACAAAGAAAAAATATTATTGAGTTGAACGGTTGAACCCCACATAGAAACAGATACATTTTCTTGTCAACTATCCACTTTAGCAGAATATCAGAAGTGTAATCCTTACAAAGTCACTTAGACATGTTCCTCAGTGTCTCATCTAGGCAGGATTTTAACTGGTTGAACTGTAAGCCTTGATGCAGTTATCTAGCATTTACTCTCATGTCACAATTGATGAGCCTGCTTTTTTTTTCCCCTTACAATGATATGTGGATCATTCTCGATTAATATTAAGGAAGGTTGAAGAGTTGTTTTTTGGTGTTTGCCTCAACATAAACCTCCAGGAAGTATGAGGCGTATGCCTCTACATAACATCACCTAGAAATTTGAAATTACATGAATTGATAGTGTGACACACATGTGAGGAAACAAAAAAGTCATGTTTAAAATCTAATGGGATATTTTGCTACAAAACAAAGTACATACATGGTGGTAATTAACATTCACGATGCTAAAACTGTGGAGCATTAAACCTCTGAGATATTTAAACACATATTTGATGCATAAACTATAAAGTATTTAAAAGTTATTTTCACTTAAGGTCAAGAAGAAGAACGGGCATGTTTGAAATTTCCATTATCACCATGGGATACATTTCTATCTCAGCGGGAAATTAGAACAATAGTGTGCAAAGAAAGTAGTGCATGTGCCAAATATATGGTTAATAGGCTAATAACATACCAAATGAATAAAAGGTATAATTTTTTTTATTAATAATAATTCTTTGATCAAATCAGAACATTTTAAAAATACTTTAAAGCTTAAGCGTCACTGGAAACACCTTGAGGCGTAAGACTCTATCCAACTACCCGAGGCTTAAGTCAGTGGAACTGAGAAGAGCATGGAGGGCGCCTTAATAGTGACCTTTTAGATAATGGGGTTCCGGTGGAAATGCATTTTATTTCCTGGAATTATGTTATTTCCTTCTGGTATTTTTTCCCACAATTTGATGGTTGGATGAAAATTGTGCAGGGGTGGCGGTAGAGGTGGATATGGTGGGGGTGGAGGTGATAGACGTAGAGACAACTACAGGGATGGTGGAGGCTCTGGTCCAGAAAGGAACTATTCTGGTGGAAACAGATCACGCCCATATTGAAGTTTTCAACCAAGAATGTTATGTACTAAATTTGTGATGGGAGGTTTATCTTTAATTCAAGTCCCTGATATGTTCTCTCTTAGTTGGTGACTTAAAAGGTAGGTTGTTTTCTCTACTTTGAGCAATACCCTTCTTTTGGTTATTGCTACATGGTGGGAGCTTTTTCCCAGTTAAAACTTGATTGATATGAACTATGTGAATGTTTTTTATAGAGGGCGAATGGATGTTCTTCAAATTGCTGCTAAGGTAGGTTGAAATAGTCAGGTGAGTGTTGCTCCTAACATACATTACTCTCAGACTAGTTTTTACAAATGGTGCTTTATTATTGAATTAATATATCTTGCCTGCTGTTGGTATTCTACATGAGTAAAAAATAAGCATGTTTGTCGCGTCCTATTTTTTAGGAGTGGATGATCTATTATTTTAATTTGACAGGAGGATGGAAACAAAGCCTTTTCATCTAGGAAATAAATAAAGAAGACATTAGGGGAGAAGCAGCAGAGATGTCATGTTGGTTGTTAGTGTTTTTTGTCTTTAAGAGGGAGGAAACGAGAGAAATCAATTTTTACAGTAAAAAACATTATTTACCATATTACGTAGTACTGGTATTAACCAGAAGAAAGAACATTTATTTTAAAAGTTAACAAAAAAAAAGATTTAAATGTTGGTTGTTAGAGTTATTTGGTATTTGAGAAGGAGGTTTCAAATGTTGGTTGTTAGAAAGTCAAACTTTTATGGTACAAAACTTTTATTTATCATATTATTAACCAGAAGAAGAATACTTAAAAGTCGATGTGTTAAAGAAATTTCAGATTTCTTGTGCATTGCTTTTGATGCATGGTAGAAAGAGTTAAATGATGTTTTCTTATTACTTTTAATGATTAAGTTGTAGTAAGAACTTAATCTACAATAGAACATAATCTTAGTGACTTAATAATTGTTGGCTATAAGTCATTAGCCATAGGAGTTACTCCCTCCGTCCCCTTAAGTTTGTCCCGTTTTACTTTTTTCGTCCGTCCCACTAAGTTTGTCCCATACCATATTTGGTAACATTTGAGTGGTTAGAATTCATTCTTACTTTATTTATATTTTATCAATTCAATACCAACCACACAATTCCACTTTTTCTTAAAAACCACACCACACCCCTCCGTCCCAAACTTAGGGGGACGGAGGGAGTATATCCTAAATATTACTAAATTAAAGTCATTTTCCAAAAATGCGACTACTTTTAAATATGGACAAAAAATGTGACCAACAAGGTCATATATTTGGAAAAGAGTAAATGATCAGTTTGGTCCTCGAAGTTGCATAAAAGGGATCAAATAAATCCTTATAGAAGATTCTGTTTGGACGTGCCATTTGAGGCAGTTTCAGATGGAATTTTTTGATAAATTTGTTTGAACATCTTATTCATTAAGTCTAGTTTATTCATACCAAATTTTAGCTAAAAATTCAATCGGGAAGACATTCAAATGAATTCTTAAAGATAATTGCGTTTTTAACTGCACATTTATTTTGAAGAATTCATTTGAATATCTTTCCGATTGAATTTTTATCTGAAATTTGGTAGAAGTGAACTGGGCTTAATGAATAAGATGCTCAAAAAATTTCATCAATAAATTCTACCGGTAACCGCCCCAAATGGCGACGGCCGTATAGAATCTCCTATATAAAGACTTATTGGACCCCTTTTATGCAATTTCAAGGACCAAACTGACCCTTTACTCATTTGGAAAATCATGATGTAACTATAAATCTTTTGTCACTGCAATTTTTTCGTGTCACTATATTATGTCACTACTGGATTTTAATGCCACTTGCGAATGTCACTATCCGATTTTAATGTCACTTACGGACGTACGAATGTCACCATCGTTAGAAAACATGTCACTATGACCGTTTCCGATTAGTGAAATTGTCGTCACCAACACCATGGCCGATCACCACCACCCCCGACTCCTACACTCGCACTTAGCCCCGCACACAAATCCGACGAAAACCACCGTAGACAGCCGCCACCCTCACCATGACCACAACGGCCTCTCCCCAACCCACGAGCCCCCTCCCTGGCCCCACCCCAACCTACTAGCTCCCTCCCCATCTTCACCCCAACCCCAGCCCCTGCAAATCGCGGCCCAAAACCACAACACACCCCTGACCTGCAACTGTCGTATCACATCACCACATTACCACCGTCTGCCGCCACTTTCCATCCTCTAACTCACCTCTAGCGCAACTCTGACCATCGACATTAAGTCCTGGAACTCTAATCTATCGGATTTCCGTCATAATTGAAGCAATCGCAGATACAGAGGCCAAATTGGCATAGAAAGGAGGAGGAGAAGAAGAAGAGTTAGGGCAGTAATGGTAGCCGTCGCAGATGGAGATGTTGTCGGAGAAGAAGAAGAAGAACGATGCGGTGGATGGTCGTGAGAAGAGAGAAGGCGCAGATCCATGGGGAGAAAAGTCGGCGCTGGTCATTTCCTTCGCTCCATTGCCGGAGGGTGAAAATCGTCGCTGAGAGGGAATATCGCTTAGAGGGAGACACATGTTTTTGGAAAGTGTAAAAACAGTCATATTTTAGTCTATTTAAAGTGTATTGATAATACTTGTGCCATTATTTCTTAGTCATATGTACTCATGTTTATTTATGACTTACTTAATTGAAGTGATGAATTATTCATCCCGTCGATACAACTACATTACTCGAGTGCTGCAAAGGGGGTTGGATACTTAGATGTACACATTCAGACATTCTTACCCATGAGTCCATGACCCATTGTGTTAGGCAAGTATCACTTAAAAAGGAGAGAGGTTTAAGATATTAGTATTTTGAATTGGGTGGGAAGGTGATAAGGTATAGAGATGTGCATCGTTTAACTCAACAAATATGTAGTTTGTAGTAGTTATTTTCTAATGTAACACTAATAAATAGGGATGTACTAGTAAAGCCAAAACTCGATTAATCTTTATCTCCCAGAATACCTAGCAAGCTAGCATACCTCATGGCTTTATAACTTGTGAAACCTCCTCATATCGTTTAACAGTTGATCATCATAATTATAATTAATAAAGCATACCAAAACATACATTTTGTGTACATTTTACTCTTCACATACCTACTCTAGAATCTATATACAATACAATTACCATAAAAGGAAATCTCTTTGTCCTTAGATAAGCTTCCCACATTCCTTTCACCATATCCTATTTGGTAATTTGGTTAACAAATTTACTGCAATTTACTCTACTTTCCTTAAGTACTAATGACAATACAGTGTAAAATAAATTTTGTTAAACAATGCAAACAATGCATTTTAAATAAAAATTTACCCTTGGCATTTTAGGAAGTTAAAGGAAAAAAAGTTACGTAGTACGGAGTACTATGTATTTCTTTCATATGGATGTGCAATTCAAAGCGGGAAGGACAGGAGTACTTGTATTTCCATATTAATAAAATTTTCTTCCGGAGAAATGTTACACAGATTCCCATTTACTTTCTAGCCTTCCATGGTTTTACAGTTCTAAACAAACATTGCGTAATACGGAGTATAGTACAATGTAACGTGCTAGAAGGAAGTCATTCCTTCATTTCCGCAGTCTAGTGAATATTAAAGCATAATTATATATTTATTATTATGTATCATCTGCACATACATTAATGTTGTAGTTATCTGTAACTAGTTGATATCAATTTCTATCCTATTAGGTTGTTACGTAGATAGCTAGTTTTACTCCACTGTAATTGTATATATATGCGCTCGTCTCATTTTATCAGATACAAGAAGAATCATTCTCTTCATGGTATCAAGAGCTTTCCTCTCACGAGAACACTAAATCCGATTTTTTTCCTAGTTTCTGCCATGGCCGGCGCAATCACCGCCACCACCCAGGTCATCACTCTTACGGCCACCAACCACTTCCCCATCAAACTCACGGCCACCAACTTTCCTGTGTGGAAATGCCAAGTCCAATCTGCTCTCATTGGATTGGGACTTGACGGTTACATCGATGGGTCCATCACTACACCGGATCAATTCCTTGATACGGCCAAAACACCAATCAATCCTTGTCATACTATCTGGTATCGACAGGACAAAACCATTATCAGTGCACTACTTGGTAGCTGCTAGGATACTATCCAATAGGGGTGGGCAATTCGGTTTACGGTTCGGTTTTCTTCGGTTTCGGTTCGGTTTACCAAAGTAAAAAATATTATGTTTAATTTAGTTTAATTTGATTCGTTTGCTTATGTTTATTATTTTATTTGATCAAGTTCTATATTTTAGAATTGGAAAATTAAAGTAGTTGTCCATCTCATCTGTTTTAAATTTATTGATTATTGAAATAAAATGTAAAAGAAAATAAAAGATAGAAAAACTAATAATAAAATATTATAAATTAAAACTTCTAACATCTTTTTTATCACTACAAAAAATTCATTTTTTACAAAAATAAGATAGTTGACTAGCATTTATAATATCACATAAAATATTCAAAAAAATCTAAAAAAGTCGGTGGTACAAATGTTGTAATATTCACAATTTTATTCAGATGAATCATGTAAAAATATAAATGCAATTTGCTATTGTTATCGCCAAACATAATAAATACAAATATGTCGTATTAGCTAACTTTGTCATAATGAATGTATGAAATGTGTAAAAGTTAAAATGATATGAATATATGCTTATATATGTATTTCATGATAAAATTATTTATTTATATCTTAAAAATGAAGAGTGAAGATAAATATAAAGTATATATATAGATATGTTGCTCGGTGTTCGGTTTATGATTTTTTCGTTTTAAATCAAACCAAACCAAATTACCAAACCATTCGGTTTGAGCAAATGTTTACCAAACGGTTTACTTAAGTAAACCCAAACCAAACCAAATCAAACCACCAATTTTTATAATATATGAAAGTTTTTTTGAGTTTCTTTAGTTCGCTCGGTTTTGTTCGGTTTTTATCGGTTTTGGTTCGGTTCGGTTCGGTTTAATATGGTTTGGAAGAAATAGTACCAAACTCAAACGAAATTGCATACGGTCCGGTTTCTGTTCGGTTTAGTTCGGTTTGGTACGGTTCGGTTCGGTAAAACCAAACCGTTATGCCCACCTCTACTATCCAACCGGTTATCTCATCTGCTCTCACCGCCAAGCACGCGTGGGATAAACTCAATCTCACCTATGCGAGTACATCTCGTGGCCGGATTATATCCCTCAAAACTACACTGTCCCGCACCAAGAAGGGCTTGTTAGAAATTAAACTTGGCTTAGCCCAATAATTGGGTCCATTACAAGTTAACTTATTGGGCTAATAGTTGTATGAGAAATAATAAATTAGTTAGCCCATAAGTTAGAGTTAGTAAAGAAAGATCTAGAGTACTCTTTAGTTAATGTACTTATTAAATAATTCTAGAATATTCCTAAGCGAAAATCCTATAGAACATTGTAGAATGCTTAGGACATAGGAGTGCCTAGAAGGATCTTATGAGACCTATAAATAGAGCACTCCTCACTCATTTGTAATACAAGTCAAAAGCTCCAAATCAATAAAAGTTCCAAGTTCTCCCATAAACATCTCTCTCTAAAAATCATCTCTCTCTAAAAATCATCTCTTCCACACACAATCACCCAAATATAATACTCATAAACTACTTTCTTCCAACAAAGTGGTATCAGAGCCATCAATCCTTTCAAGAAAGATGAATGACAACGGCTTACTTCCCTTCCAATTTCCTCGTCTCACCAAAGATAACTACTGTAGTTGGTGCATTCGCATGAAAGCCTTGCTAGGATCTCAAGATGCATGGGAGATTGTTGAGAAAGGTTATGAGGAACCTCAAGATGATGCTACTTTAAATCAATCCCAAAGGGATAATCTCCAAAGGAGTAGGAGGAAGGATCAACAAGCTCTCACTCTCATATATCAATGCTTAGACGAGGCCATGTTCGAGAAGGTTGCAAATGCCACCACTTCTAAAGTAATTAATAGACATCTTAATATAAAGAGAAATCTTCTATTGAGGATATAATAGGAAAAAATAAATTGCTCATTACTGGTTTGACTCTTTCAAATTCTATTTCTCTACACAAAGAATTCCAAATTTGTCAATTTCTTTAGTATTTCTATACCTTACAATCCAAATCTGAAGGAAAAGTAGTTGAGAAGGAGAAAGTGTCAATGACTGAATCAGCCCAAAGTTTTACAAAAGAAGGGGAGGAGCAAAAAGAAGAGGTTTCTAAGAGAAGGCAGATCTGAGAGATTCAGACAGAGAAGGAGCAAGTGGAGGACACCATGGCTCTGGATGGGGCAAAAACGGGGAGGAGGCGGGCTTTGCTCCTTAAGCCCGCCGAAGCTGCTGACTGAAGTTTGGAGGCCGCATGTCAGAGGGATGATTTGAATTTTCTGGCTGCGACGGAAGTGTTTTTGATTTTGTTTTATTTACTATTTCAGCAATTGTTATTTCTGTTTTGGTATTTGTTTTTTCGTTTATTTTCCAGTTTGTAAGACGTCGATTTTGGATATGAGGGATGAGAGGAATATGGTGACCGTTTTAGGCTTTTGGTTTCCCATTTATGGATCATCGAATTATATTGCTATGGTGATTAATTCTGAGTCTGGTTCGCGTGATAATGATTGTCAGATTTCTTTTTTATCATTTGACCCATACTCTGTTATCGATCTAAGCCGAATTCTTTCAAAAAGAGATTGAAGATGAGAAATTATTTGCTTTGTTTATTTATTGTTACATTGGAAAGAGATTGAATATGAGAAACTATTAAGAACCACATTATTTAAGTAGATACGGAGTACTTCTTTTATCTTCGGGAGCAGCGGCACAAGTTTGTTCATAATACTGTTAATGAGAAATTCAAATATGGGACAAAAATGTAGTCAGGGATTTTGGGTTATGTGAAAACCTTATGTGAGCAACTGAAATGAACATGCGGGCAGGGATTTTGGGTTGTGGTCTTGTGGACCTGTGGTGTCATTGTGTCAAATGACACCATTCAAAATATATCTTTATTATATATATATATATATATATATATATATATATATATTAAAAGTGTTAAAAATGACACCACTCAAACTATATATTTATTGTATATATATATATATATATATATATATATATTGAAAGTGTTAAAAATGACACCACTAATTTTTTTATAGTGTCAATATATATAATATATATACTCCCCTATCTCACAAGTTTTTTTAATATATGATTGAAAGAATAATGTTAATATTTAATAAGAAACTGAAACAATAATATAATACTAATAATTTAAAATTCACATTATTTTTACTCTCACTTAGGGTGAGAGTAGCGATCCTGTCAGACCGGCCGATGCCATTTGGGGCTCTTTCCGGTGGAATTTTTTTGATGATTTTTTTGAGCATGTTCTTCATGAAGTTTGTTTTTTGCCAACCAAATTGCAGCTTAAAGTTCAATCGGGAAGACAGTTAACTAAATTCTTTACAAAAGCTGCGTTGTTTGTGTATACAAAGCGCAGTTTTTGTAAAGAATTTATTTAATTGCTTTCCCGGTTGAAATTTTAGCTGAAATTCGGTGGACATAAACTAAACTTAAAGAAGAACAAGCTCAAAATATATGTTCAAAAAATTACATCGGGAGGTTCCCGTCAGGCCGGCCTGATATGATCTGACCT